GGGAAGAGAGAGAGAGAGAGAGAGAGAGAGAGAGAGGTGCTACTTTATCCGTATGAAAGCAGCAGGTGAGTTATTGGCCTTGATCATATGTATTGTGTTCTGATTGAGCGGTAGTAGTTTAACTAAATTGTTGTGTCAGAATTGTATGGCCTTTTGACTCCTTTCGAATGTTTGTTGTGTGTTTTTCTGGTGGGCCGGTGGGTCGATGGCCGAATTCAGTATTGAGAGGGCTGAAGGAAAAGTTTGACGAGGCAAATAGGCGAAATGACGTCAAAGCCATTGTTGTTACCGGTATGTCTTGCCATTTGTCTCCATCCTCAAGGTCTATTCATTGTGAAAGTTCTACCTATTTCTGGCTGTTGTCTTTGTGTGGGTATGGATGTGCTGGGAGCACGTGTGATTGTCTGTGTGTGGAGAGAGAGAGAGAGAGAGGATTGCTTCTTGTCTTGGAGAGAGAGAAGGATTGCTTCTTTCTTGGACCGCTTGTGTGTTCATGAAATGGAAGTTTGCTTACACATGCTCATAGCCTCATACCCATCTTTCAAAGTTGCAGCTCATTACTTGCACAATCAGTTGGATATGGCCTCCGAAAATGATCCCAAAGCACGAAGTAATGCTCACAGAGCATCTTGCCAGACACTTCTGTGGACAGCTTACTAAGAAGAGAATGCTTGCCGGGGAAGGATGCAACAGGTCAAGCATTGCCTTTTTTTTTTTTTTTCCTGGCTTTTGTTTTGAACTTCATTGAAGTTTATCGAGGTTTCCTTTTGCTGAATCCAAGGGCTTGACACAATTGGGTGCTCGTTTCCACTTTCTGTCTGCGTACCAAAATGTAATTAACTTGGTGTACTTATCAAAGCATTCACTGATTTGTTTGTTCAAAACACTTGTTGCAGGGGCGGATGGGAAGTTCTCGGGAGGTTTTGACATCAATGCAATCGTTGAACAACAGGAGAAAGGTACGTGCCGCTTCCTTATTCAGTCCAGAGCGGATTCGGTTGAGAATTTGTTTCACCTTATGTAATTTAAATTCAAATAAAAAAGGCAGATTTTCAAACATGCAAAATAGACTCCGTTTTATCATTTATGGTGGACCGGTCGGCATTATGCCAGTGGCATTGCGGGGTGATCTAATGCCGATTAGCGGCAGGCGGCCGAAGGCCGAGTTATCCTAGGGAGCTTTTCTGTGTTCAAATATACGGTGGACCGATCTCTTCCTTTTTGCTTCAACCTCTTCTTTTTTGCTCTGCGGCACTGGCCTTTGTTTTCGTTTTGTCTCCTTGTGCAGAGGTGATGCTAGTCTTCTCTGTATTGTTCTAACTTATGACAATTGTCCGGATGGATCTATTTTTCTTTTTTCTTTTTTTTTAATTGAAGCTGCAGATTGTATTATAAAATTTGGAAAAAACTGAGGCCAGGAATCCCTCAACATTTCAACCCGGAGAGTTTTGCTGGAAACCGGGTCCAGCGTCCCATCCCCTCCTTTTCTTGCCTGGAAGCAGTTGGGGTAGCGTAATGGAGATGAGCATTCACAAGGAAATGATGTTCTAATTTCCAAAGGTGCATGAGCACATGAGCATGCGAGGGCTGCAATGACAGCGCCGGTTGCACATGAGCATGCGAGTGCTGCAATGACAGCGCCGGCTTACGTGATTGCGTATGAGTGGCCATAAGTGCCCTGATTTGGTCTTTCTGTATCGTTCTAACTTATGACAGTTGTCCGGATGGGTCTTTTTTTTTTTTTTTTCTCCTTCTTTTCTTGCGTGGAAGCGGTTGGGGTAGAGTCATGAAGAAGAGGATTCACAAGGAAATGATGTTCTACCTCCTAGAGGTGCATGAGCGCATGAGCATGTGGGCGCTGTCATGATCACGTGTGAGTGGCCATAAGTAACCTGATTTGGTCTACATGAGACTATGAGTCTATGCGTCATTTTCCTGCAAATGCTGTATCTGGTTTGTGATGTCCATGCATGTTAGAAACATCTCCTTGACCCTCCAATGAAGGAGTAATTTACGCTGTTCAGGGGTGCTTCGGCCAAACGGAAGGAAGCGTGACCGTGTAAACGTTGTAATCATACGACTTGCCGGTGGAAAAGGAACCGAACTGATGCTCCCCAGAATGGAAATGGAGCCACGGACATAAGGGCCTGTTTTTATTGAAAAAAGAAAAGAGAAACGTTTCCTTGTTGACTCTTGAAGATGTCAAACCTACCATCTGTCCCTGAATAGAACGCACGGTCGTTATCGCTGTATCTCTAGATTCTCTACGGTGAGAGTTGGCCCAAGGTGTAGCAGCTGATCTCAGTCGACGCTGTGATTAGCCTTCGCTCTTTCCAATCTTTCCAATCCAAGGTGTAGCAGCTATAATGACTGTGCATTTTATTTGGGGGAAGACAGTACCAGCTAAGGGACCTGAAAGGTGTGGAAACAGCTGAGAACATCCTGATTCATGAATTTGCAGGAATTCTGTTTCCTGGTTCGTGAATTTGCATGAACACTGTCGAGCTTGCACTTAGTGGGGTGCCAGATTTATAGCTTCTGTTCTTCTTACTTGTTCTTACTTTGCTCTCTTTACCCTTAAATCTGTTGTCAATGGGCCTCGCTGCACTACTCACCAAATGTGCAAAATGAGATTGAATCCTCCGCTAAAGCGTGGAAAGATACATTGCTATATTTTTTGTCGTTTGTGCATGTGGAGAGTACTGGAGTGAGGCCCAATTGTTAAGACAGGGGTAATAATAATGAGTCAATTATTAATGACTTAATTGGAGAACGTTCACAATTTGTAATACGAGGGAATGAGATGCATCAAGGATCGGTTGAGCATGTGCACAGAAGCTTTCCTCATTTGTGATCACACAAGTCTGCAGATACGAGTGCGCATGATGCATTTAAATGCATGAGGACACACATGTACACATGATGATGGAAGAGAAGGTATGAGCGCACCTATGTAGTCTACAGTTTGGTCAGGCTGAAGAAGCTGAAGGTGATGATGGACTCTATGGAGTCGAATTTTTGTGCTTGCCTCTGAAGAGTCTGAACAGGCGACTGTCCTTGAACGATGTCAATGACAAAACTGAAAGAGTGTGTATTGTCCCTGAGCTGCCAGATGGAGTCAAATGAAAGGATTCACGCGACTCTGCAGTACGGCTCCGGGTACCGTGTGCTGTTTTCTTCTGTACCATAGGGCCTCAAGCACAGTAGAACTTTCCAGTCGGTACAGTACAGGCTGAAATACTGATCCAGGAGGATAAGGTGGGTAGGAACAGTAGCAGAGTCCCTACTAGTACTAGTTAGTAGGTAGGGAGTTGCCACGTGTGGAGTCCCGGTCAAGTTGCAGCTCAGTTCTGGGAAGGGCCCCATGACAGGGTGAATCTTTGTTGGCCGGGGAAGGACGTGACCGAGAGGGCCAGAGTCATGTGGGAGGCACTGGCACATGCACAAAAGGAAGGCCAGCACTAGGAACCTCTTCTTCGATTCTGGCTTATGAGGAAGTGCTGCTGTGGCGCCAAGATCTTAGAAGCGTGAACAGTGCCTGGTGAGGGAGTAGTCAACGGCGCTGGGCCTCATAGCTATGGTAGAGCGCAGTGGTAGAGAAGGAGAGCAGCAAGGACATTCAGTGAAAGATCGCAGGACCTGTTCGCTGTAGTAGCAGGCGAGAGAGAGAGAGAGAGAGAGAGAGAGTTACCTGCTTGTAGTTGTTGTTGTTGGGCGGCCATAACCGTACATCATTTCAAGTTGTAAATAAGTTTTGAGTGTGCTCGCATCGTGTGAATCTTGATGGCATGGTGTGGAATTTGAGTATGACGTATGCAAAAAGTTCAAAGCGATAAAGGCCTTTCCAAAGATGTTGTCCCAGGTGATCTAGGAAGATTTTCATGACCGGCCGGTCACCCGGGCGCGACACCTGGGGGGATCTGACGCCCGGGATACCCGGGCATGGGGAAAAAAATTGAAATAAAAAAATAAAAAATTTTGGCGGTGGGGTTTTTCCGCGCTTTCCGAGAGGAGCCCAGGTCTGGGCTCTTTTCTTTTTTTGAGAGTTGGCTGTCAAGGGGTGGGAAGGGGAGTATAAATGAATTTTAAAGGGGCTAAATGGGAGCTTTTTATGAGGTTGCACTGGGAGCCAGTGCTTGTTATATCAAATTCGCACCATGGATTTTAAAGGGGGGTGCCTTAGTGTGATTTGTTGTTTTTTGTTTAATCTTGAGTTCTGTGAGGAATTCTGATGCGACCCTCAGCCAAAAGTTGTTTGTATTGAAATTCTACACAACAATTTTTTTTTCCAGATTTTTTAGAGTTGTTTTTTTTTTTTTTTTTTTTTTTGGGCACTGGGGCTGCCTGGGCCCATGCCCGGGGGTCATGCCCGGCTGGTCACCTGGTCACCAAACCGGGCGTCACGTCGGGACCTCGGCGCCTGGGATATCTCCCTAGCAGGCGATGCTGCTTTTGAAATTTCAGTACATGGAGCAGGAAGGCTGACGAAGCCATGGAGTAGCACGCAGGCAACAGGGAGGCAAGAGTTTTAAGAGATCGCTGTCCTTGATGAGTACCAAGGTTGATGAAAATCCGGTGACGTTGCACCACGTCTTTTGTGTTACCCACCTTGGATGTGAAATCAGCTGCAGCAGGATTGCAGTCATTAGCCATATTTTGGGACACTGACGTTGCACCACGTCTTTTGTGTTACCCACCTTGGATGTGAAATCAGCCGCAGCAGGATTGCAGTCATTAGCCATATTTTGGGACACTCACTAGCTTCTCTATATGATTGTGTGTTTTTTTTGGTTCCTTTTTCTTTGTGCTGGCGTTTAATATGAAGCCTGGCAACCTCAGCTGGCTTTTCTCAGGTTTTGTATCTGTTTTCCGTGCTCTAACACGTTCAGGCCTTAGAATACCAGTGAACATAAAATCAGAAAGGTTGAATTCAGTCCTTCCGGACATCCGTTAAAATTGGAACGATTTAGAGAAGATTAGCATTGCCCCTGCGGAAGGATGACACACATAAATAGAGAAATGGTCCAAGTAAAAAAAAAAAAAAAAAAAAAAAAAAAAAAAAAAGGTTTTAATGCAAAGCAGGTCATGATGTTTTAGTGGTTGGCAAATTGTAAAGGGAAGTGGCCAAGCGTCACTGCGAGATTTCCGCGGCGGTACGGGGGACGTTCTTCATGCAGATGCATTCCTCTTGGGATTTCCTGATCTTTATCTCCGTGTTTGTGCTCGGAATTCACATTCACAATGAATATGCAATTACATGGTTTTCATGATTTTGGTGTGGCTTGTCACACATATTGGTTGTGTCGTCATGTTTTCATTCATTCTCTCTTCTTCTTCTTCTTCTTCTTCTTCTTCTTCTTCTTCTTCTTCTTCTCTTTCTCTTCCCTCTTCTTCCTCCTCTTTGGTCTTCTCATTCCCTGTCGTCTCTTGTCTGTTTGGTCCAATGGAATGCATATTTAAAATGCGAATGCATAGCTATTAGCTAGGTTGTCCCTTATATGGCGCCCGTCTTTTCTCTGTAGTACATGTGAGGTTTTGAATGTAATGGGAAAGGGCATTAATAAGTGCTGTCTGTTGGCTTGTGATTGGTTGTATGGCTGGTTTGTGCAGGCTCTGTTAGTGGTTCACTTGGGCAGGTCTCCGTTGATCTCTTCGTAGAGACAATCGAGAGTGAGTGTTCAGTTCACAAAGTGTCTTGGTATGGTTAGAATATTGCACCCTCCTCTCTTGCCCCCCTGCCCTCTTTCCGTCTCCTTCTTTCCCTGAGAGCTAGTATGATCAAGCGAATGAACCCTCCTCCCTCCTCTCTCTCCAAAATCACACACAAACCCATCCCCATCGCCACCCCCTCCTCCTCCACCCTTCATTGAAAGGATCCATACCCTATGGTTCTCATTCTCAAATTTTATTTGACTACTGGATCAGGCAGGACCTGCTTCACCCATGCATATATTATTTCTACATTGGGGAGCAGAAGAATGTAAACAGAGGTTATGGCAAACAGAAGTATATCAAAACACAACTCCAGGGAGTTGAAATACCAGAGCAGGGATGTGGGTGGCATGGATTGTTAGAAAATATATACCTGTTGCGCACGACTTGCATGGGTCATGTGCAAGTGTGGTGCATTGTGCCCGGGGGAAGCACGTTGTGTGCAGGTCCGGTGAATATATGTGACTTTAAAAATAGTAATTACTAATTAGGAATTATAATATTATATTATTAGTGATTATACTATTATTATGTTATTGTCAGCAAATTTCGCCTGGGATGCTATCTCAATGTTGTATCACTATTTAAATAGTGAAACGTTATTTTTGGGATTTTTTTGGCTGGGACGCCACCACAGGGTTGTATCCTTTCCATTTATAAAAATACGAAAATTAAACGAACAATTCTTTTTTTATCCTTTATTTTTTTGAGTCCCCCCCCCTCCTCCCCCTCTCCTCCTCTTTAAATGTGCCACACCAAGTCTCAAATTACTGCACAAGGCTCAGAGCACTGCACAGCACACTGCACATGTACCCGGGGGAAAAAAATTATGGCAGATTCTTATATGAAGAACGGCTAAGCGAAATGCAACTGGATCTCCCTTAAAATGGCTCCGATGGTACAGCTCAGTTAGTGCGCCCAATGATCTGTTGAAATACAGACCCAAGTTCGAATCCACATGCAATCAGATGAACAGAACAATATAATTCTGAATTACCTGGGACCGTTCAGCAAAATGATCATACCTCAATGCTGTCTGACTTCACAAAAAAAAAAGAAAAAAAAAAAGCCTGCGATGGTGGCAGAAACCCGCAGAAGTAGTAGAGAAATGGAAGGCTTGCAAGAACCCAATTGCAGCATCCCCAAGATCCCCTAAACTCGCCCCATAGACCCAAGCATGAGCTACCTGTTCCTAGAATCCTACTGCCAAGAGTTGCAGATCTCCTGCCTGGACCTGACTATGAGCTGTTGTCACTAATGCTACCTACCTATCATACATGGTATCAGCCACTCAACTTATCATTTTAATCTGTTGCTGCGCTGTGTGTGACTGAGCGACTGTCAAAATGTCTGCACAGGTGTGCAATTCTTAGATCATACTTGCCTTATGTTGGTCACAGTCGGGTTTGATCCTCGGATTGGTCCTGTCACCTGTGCGTTGGGCAGAATCTTCAAGAGCTGTCCCCAGGGTTTTGTACCTGGGTGGACATCTAGAACTTTCTTCGATCAAATCAACAAGCCTAAAAGCTTCATTCTGCTCAAGCAATCAATGTGGTTGTGCTGAATGAGAGTTGGTGCACTGTTCTTTCTTGGCTTGATCAATTGGACCGCAGATTCAACGAAACCTGTTGTAGCAGCTATGGAAGGTCTTGCATTGGGGGGTGGGCTAGAGCTTGCGATGGTGAGTAGGATGCCACTCCTGCCCAGTAGTTCAAGGGTCCTGTTTTAATGGCAACCCACAGTACAGCAGTCTCGTTGTGATATCTTGTGGCCTACAGATGTATGCGGATCTGCTGCATGTGCAGGTGGGACCACTTTTCTGTAAAAAACAGTGCTCCATTGCCCCTCTCTCGCCCCTCTCACGTCCATTTTTTATGAGGCATCATCAGGAGTACTGGTGCCTGATCTCCCTATTTCACTGCTCTCTCTCTTTCTCTGTGTCTTTCTTCTCCCTCCCCCCACACCTTTTCCCCCCCAACCCCCCTTCCTCTCCTTCTCTCTGTGTGAATTGGGTGAAAACAAGGCGAAAACCAGCAGTTCAGAATCGGAAAAGCAAAGAAGATGATGAATCATTTGCAAGCAGGGGCAGGAAGGGAGCTGACAGGAAAGATTTAAAAAAACGAAGAGGAAGACGTCCGAAGAACCCCGAAGAAAATGAGGAGGAAGACGTCGAAAGAACCAGGGAAAAAAAGAAAAGAAAAAAACGCTTATGGAAGAAACACAATGTATAATGCAGTGCAGAAATCAGCTTCCCCTGGCGATTACCGTGGTACCTCTGGTGATACAAGAGCGTAGAGCTACCTCAGAACATTCTTGATCTGATGTGCAACACGCATGGGATTCATATTTTCATATGCCTTTTTGGTTTCCTAACAATTTTCCCCAACCTTGGCTTCTAGCGAAATTTACCCGTAGTTATTATTGATTAATTGAACTTCCCATTTCCCTCCCTTTCTCCTTGTGTGCTCTATTGCTCTGCTCCAGTCATGTCATGCAAGAATATGCGCCCCAAAGACGCAGCTAGGGCTGCCTGAGCTGCAACTAGGAATCATCCCCGGGTTTGGAGGTAAGTGTACTTGAAACTTTTTTTTTTTTTTTTTTTGTTGTTGTTGTTCGGAAAACACTTGTGCTATTGCGTGTCACTTCGAGAAGCCCAGAGTGGAAAAGAGAATTCTGGAGGTTGATAGCAAAGCAGTGCCCCCCCTTCCCCTTCCCCCCCCCCTCGCCCCCTCCCCCCTGACACCATGCCTTTTTCATATAGAATTATTAAATTTAGAACTGACTCCCGACTCAACCAAGTCACTACAGAAGTGTTTGGTGCGAGGAAACAAATTGCTATCCATTCATAAAATGTGTGCTTTTTACTTCTAACCTCTAGCTTATGTATGATGCCATGGCAATCCGAAACGGCCTCAAGTGTTGAAGTTTGAGAGCTGAGGAAGCCTTTTATGTACTCGCTAACAGGGAAATACAAAAACACGAGTTCAAATCCTGAGGGATACAATAATATTAGGCGGAACCCCTTTCTGATGAGAAAAAAAAAGGTTGAGGGATGCAATAATATTATGCCGAAGCAGCCGAACCCCTTTTTGATGGGAAAAAAGGGAATACAGAAAGAAATGCTCGCAGACTTGAGCTGAATGTAGTTATCCTTTACAGTTTAATCCATTGCACGCGTTCGCACTTCTGTACAACGTACTTGAAGTTACTAGGCTGTCCAGCTGGGCCTGCCTGACCGGGCAGGCCTGGGCCAGGCGAACAGACCCAGGGGAATCCAAAATAGGGCGAGAATAAAGGGGAAACCTGGGAAAGAAGAAAGGTCGATGGGTCTGTGGTTGTCCTGAGCAGTCGGAATCCAGCCTTCTCTTTGAATTCGGTGATAGCACACGTGGTGGTGGTGGTGGGGGGTTGGAATAAATGGGTTAAGAACTTAGGAGGTATTTAAATTTTAAAGGGGTTTATTGAACTTTATTCTGAGTTTTTCTTTTTCTCCTTTCCTTTTTACCTTGAAATCAAACAGGAATTCTTGGGGAGCAGCACGTGCTGGGAACTGCGCCCAACGTCCCTTAGAATAACAGTACATAACAGTGTATAAAAACTCGTGTTCGAAAAAGACTTGGAAAAACCTTGAGACTCTCGGGACCCTGCCAGCATTGATTGCCCTATATATCAGGGGATTAACTGAACAGGGAGCTTTTATTGTTCAGTTTAGTGATGGGACACTTGTGGGGGGCATAAATTGGCTTTAAACTCTGGAGTCTGGAGGAGTTCAAATTTTAGAAAGCGAGTACCTTTTCCTTCCTTTTTCTTTTCTTTTTTCAAATCTTGAGTTGCAATTTAGCAGGGATTTGCAGATGACACTTGGTCAGAAGTTGTTTGTATCACAATATTAACATCCCCTATCTCCTGGCCCCCCCCCCCTCCCCCGTATTTCTCTCCTCGTTTTTCGTAAATTTGTGCCGGGGTTGCCATGCACCTTGCCTGGAGTTTTGGGTTGCGTTGATCGTAACCTAGTCTTCTCCAGATTTTCTTGTGTGTTTTGCTTTTGTCTCCTAATATCTGATATTTCTTGGCAGCATACATGGAGCGATCTGAATATCCGGATTGTACCATGTTTCTCTGTCATGATGGTAGAGTAGCAAGCGGGCATGATGAGAATCATCAGATATCCCATTGTTTGGCCTATGAACTTGGGGGCGGTGCTTACATGTGGGGCTTGTCATCTAGGATCTTGTTGCCCCCTGTTTTGTTATATTTGGCTGTTCCCTTCCTCTTTTCTTTGCCTCTTTGCCTTTTGGCTGTGTGCAAGTGGGTCGATACACGGGGGTGGGGGCAGCCACCGCTCAACCACATCCACGTGGGCGGCCTTGTACGCAAGAGGTTCTGAACAGGGGGAGTTGTAAGTAAGAAGATAAAAAATGAATTGATATCTTTTTTGTTCCCTTTTGTTTTTTCTTCGGTTTTGCGCTCTGATAACTTTGTGACAATATATAAATGAACGGTAAAAACTGTAGATACTAGAAAGTACTAGAAACTGCAAAAACTGTAAAAACTGTAAAAAGTACTAAAAAGTAGTAAAAACTGTAAAGACTGTAAAGTTGTAAAAAGTTACTAAAAACTGTAGAATCTGTAAAAAGTACTAAAAACTGTAAAAGCTGTGACTGGTTGTGGATCAAGGCGCTTTTGGTTTGTGAGCGCGTCATCGAATGGCTTGGCGTTGTGGTTGACCATGCAGGAACACAGAGGTTGCCAAGGCTGGTTGGTGTTCAGAGAGCAATTGAGATGATGCTGGTAGGCTGACCGTTATTTCTTTTGATATCCATTCACTAGGTTTGGTAGCATATTTTAACATGTCTGACATTGCCTGACATATACTGGCTGGATGGAGTATCATAACTATGGATGCAGTGTGTGAATATAAGCACCGTAAGGTCACGAGGCTCTTTTTGCTTTTTTTTTTTTTTTTTTTTTATGTGCAACATTGTGTAGCAGTTAACCACGTGGGCTAGGTTCTCTTGCTATGTTTTGTTTTTCCTTTCTTTTCTTTTTCTTTGTCGAACTGAATTCTTTCTGAATAGCTAAAGCACGACCTTCACAACTCACAATCATCCCTGGGTAATTCCTGAATGCAGATTATGATCTTATTATCCCAATTTGCAATCCACTGGATGCCAAGGCCTCCATGGAGAGGATCCAGAGTTCCAAATGATGTGCCGGCCAGCTGGTAGCCCAGCCCATTACATAAATTACTGGTTATTAAACTTATTATTCGTATTTATTACTAACTCTTATCAGTCAACTCCCTCCTGGCTCATATTGTTCTATGTTTGATGCGTTCGTAACTTCTTACTTCTTAGGAATCTTGGCTAGTGCGCCATCATGATACTCGCGAATTACAAGAGATTTTTGGTGTGGAGCAGTGTATTTTTTTTTATGGTAGACCAGCTTGTAATGTATTTAATACTATTTATACTATTTTGTAGTTGTTTATTATACTCGACAAGTTGGCAGAGAGAATCTTCTATCCTGAGGACACCAGTTGATGTGTCTGAATCATCTTATTGGCTGTGCCCTAGTAATGCAGTCATGATGGATGGGAGAAAAAGACTCAGTAGAGAAGGGACAGATGGCAGATACACAACGTTCCCATTCAGCAGCTATTGGAAGAGCTTCTGAAGTTATGATACATCAACCACTATTTTTTGTTGTTGTTGTTTTTAGATGATTTCCCCCCCCCCCCCCCCCCCCCTTCTTCCCTTCGTCCTGACGACTTGACTGAATGCTTTTTTCTGAAGACTTGTTGGAAATGTGTTTTCTAGATGTTATATTTGCAGACCGTTCAAATACTCATGTTTGGATGGGAAAGCTGATGTGTTTTGTACTCGTGGGCGCAACCATTTGTGCCACAGGCAACTGGAAACAGCTGCGCATGGCAAGCATTGAAGACGCAATGTGGGTGTGCCTGTATGTGTTGTGTTGCAGTTGTCAAAAACTATGCTCGCTGAAGAAGGGAAGGAGCGGGGGTTGATTGACTTGATTGTGCCTCAGCGCGAGGTTCTGGGAGCAGCACGGAAGTGGGCTCTTGATATTGTAGACAGGAGGCGGCCTCGGATGATATCATTGACGAGGAATGACATTTTGGAGCCTCTTGGAGATGCTCGTCTGATCCTCAAGTTTGCAAGGGCACAGGCCTTGAAGACAGCCCCACACTTAAAACATCCCCACCTTTGTCTTGATGTTGTGGAGCATGGCATCGAAGCGGGTGGATATGCCGGCAATCTAAAGGTGATACCAGCTATACTGTTGCTACTTGTCAGCACAATTCCTCCATCTAGAAATTGGTGCTCGCGGTTTCTCACACACACACGCAGAGAGAGAGAGAGAGAGAGAGAGAGAGAGAGAGAGAGAGAGAGAGAGACTTCCTTTTCCCACTGGAAAGTCGCAGAGATAAAAATGCTCCCTGCATGTCTCGCCACTATTGCAGGGAGATACCTAGCACGAGGTACATCCAGAACACCTACTCCCTGGAACTAGGGCATTGATGACCTATTGATAGGTTGTTAGCGAAATCACTCCTTCAGAGGCTGGGATTCTCTCCCACCCATCTTGAAGAAACGTCAAAACCTTGATGAGGACTACTATAACCACACTAGACCCGCTTGTCTGTCACCTTTTCCTTTTTATCAAGTATTATGAGCAATATTGCTGCCAAAATCCTCTCCCACCTACGTAGTTGTTTCAGTGCTTTGCCAGTCGGTTCAAAGTCTTCAGAGTCTTCAGACTCACCAACAGGTTTGTGTTCCATCTTTCTGTGCAGATCAGAGTGATAACCCCACTCTATACAAGACTTCCCTACCACGAGGTCGTTATATACTCCCCTCCATAACCTCGGGGGGTTATGGGTTTCTCATGGATATTTTTGGCAATAATCGGCCATCAGTCTTCAATTTCCCATTTTGAAAGTCATGCCATGATGGCTGACTTGTCGTGGCAAGGACCAACAGAATCGAACGAAACAAATGAGAGAGGGTCTGTGGAAGGAATCATCACGAATGAGAAGAAATACAAAAGAGCAGAGTTTTGCCAGACAAAAAGAGAGAAATGCAAGAAGAACCTCCTCATGTGCTAGAGCATGACACAGGAGCCCTTTCCCTCTTCGGCGCTGGTAGCACTGTACCCACTCAGAGTGGCATGACACAGGTGCCCTTTCCCTCTTCGGCACTTGTAGCACTGCGTGCACTTGGCTTATGAACTTGTAAACCTTAACAAACATAATGTAATGTACTCTCCAGAGCCGATGTCAGTTCTACGCAGTAGTGTGTCCACTCACATTATGGATTTGAAGCCTTAAACCACCAGTACATCCGCACCTAAAATCCCGAAGCTACCTGCCCACTGAGCGCCGCTATTTTCCGAACCTTCTGTGTGAGGCACCTGCAGTGGGAATTTCGGAAGTGGCACCGATGCCGAAGGAAAAAAAAGGATTTTTTTTTTTTAAAGGACAAAAAAAAGAAAAAAAAATTAAAAAACGAAAGAAAAAGGAAAAAAAAAAGAAAGGAACAAACAAGCCAGAGATCAATGATGTCGTGGAAGGACCTCATGGAGGGCATACTCAAGTGATCACTCTCCAGAATGCATCTGACCACTATTATAGGGAGAGGGAAACGTTGCTGTTTTTTCTTTTTTCTCCTTTTGTTCCTCTCTTCCTTTCGCTGCCAGCAAGGCAGCGCATATACCTCGTGCTCAAAACGCCCTCGCTGAGGGCATGCTCACACTAGCGCTGTTGAAATGAATCCAACCACGCGCACGCCCAAAGCTTGGTTGGCTTTCTTTTTTTTGGTTCTTTTTTTTGTGTCTGACAGTCGTGCTCCCCGTGTTCTTCGTTCTGCCAAAGTGCCCTCACTGAGGGCAGACTCACACGGAGTACTCCAAAAAGTGTATCCAACTGCAATCACGGCCAAAGCTTGTTTTGTTTTTCGGGACGTGCAGATTGGACATGGGCCCAAAAAATCGAAAACCTTCTGATGCTCCGACCCTGCCCCGAGCTCACCTTTTACTTCTTGTGGCGACAAGTTATTTTGCTGCAAGGCTGAGGCCGTGTACCGGTGCTTTAACAAACATAATGTACTCTCCAGAGCTGTTGTGAGTTCTGTGCATCGACTCACAGGGCGTATCGTGAGAGCAATTGTTGTGAAAGTTGTACAATGTTAGCATGGAATTTCGAGCACAGTGCTCACTGTCAATCTGCTGTGTTAATTGTGCAGGAAGCGGAGGTGTTCAAGAAGTTGGTTGTATCAGACACTGCAAAGTCTTTGACGCATATTTTCTTTGCACAGAGGATGACTACCAGGGTAAGCATGTCCAGCAAAATATGCAGCTGATGGAAAAATGAGGTAGAAGCGTTTGTTTTCAGAGCGCTTTTCCTTTCACTTTATTTTTTCCAAACGGAAACATAGCCTTCAATCAATTCGAGAAACCGAGCTGGGTGATGATGATATACCCAACAGTCTTCAGCTCAAAAGAGACTTGCTTTGCTCAGCAATCTGAGCAAAACCAAAAGAATGTGCCAAAGCGTATGAGAGCGTTAATCTTCACTGCTCTCAGTGGCGTCCGAAGAGCACAGCACAAGAAAGAAAAGGAAAATGTTGGGTCGTAGGATTGGTTCAGTGATTAGTCTGAAGTTCTGAACAGAGGCAGCATGGGAAACCCAAAGAATACGAATCCAGTCTGTCCATTTACTTAGAGGGAAATGACACCAGACACCCAGATATTCTTTCTGGGGGGGGGAGAGGGGCTGACAAAAACAACAAGTAATCCAATTGTTGCATTTAGTTCCCAAAAATAGGACCAAGGTGCTGACCAGCTCGGACCATTCCCTGAAGCAGAAATTCAGAAAATTCCAGAATTGTAAAATAGACAGAGTCTCCGGAATACTAGAAAGGTAATAGAAACCTATGGTGGAAGGCTGCTGAAACAATCCTCTAATAGAATCCACCAGTTTCCATAGACAGGAGTAAGATCCTAATGGGTACCATCCAGCAATTTACGGTTTGACTGTTCCATTTTAGGGAGATAATAAAAAGAGAGAACAATCAGGTAATCAGAATACTTTTAGCACAAATGTAAAGAGGACAACCTGGGGCCTGCAGCTGCCATGCTGTGGCACAGAAAACAGACAGTGCAAGGGGCAGAAAGAGGAGGCAAGGGGCTCAGGATTTGAACTTGACACCTGCTTATCAGCAGCCATATGTACATATGGACGTAAAAGGAGGAACAGAACTGAGCTTGCCAGTATCGTAGCTGGAGAACACGATGGTCTGCTTGCTGCTTGATATGACGGGAGCCACCAGGATTGTCTGTGGGGGGGGTGCGGGGAGAGAGAGAGAGAGAGAGAGAGAGAGAGAGAGAGAGAGAGATGTCTGGTTTGGCTCTCTTTTCCTCCCGATTCGTCTTTGCATGTCTTTGTTGTTGTTGTCACCTTCCTCTTTGTCACGCTCATTTTTTCTTCTTTGCGGTCACTTTTCATCTCATGCATCATACCAAACCTGATTGCCATTCAGGAGTGTGTGTGTGTGTGTGTGTGTGTGTGTGTGTGTGTGTGTGAGAGAGAGAGAGAGAGAGAGAGAGAGAGAGAGAGAGAGAGAGAGAGCAACCATGGATATGATGTTCATCTCCCCGCCCCTCTCTTCCCCCCCCACCTTATTGGGTTCCTTGCCGTCACTTTTCCCTTTCTCCTGTTTGGATAGTCTGTGTGCCAGAGACGTTTCAAATGCGCCCTGTTGGGAACCACTGTGGCACACGGACCAAAGAGGTCTGGACAACCGAGGATTTGATCAGTTTGCTTCAAGCGTTGATCGGCTTGCTTCAAGTGTTGCCTCACATTGCTTTGGACTTGATTGAGCTTCTGTTGTATGGGCTTCAATTCATCAAAGTCCGGGTAGAAACTGTATGCTAGAGGTGGGAAGGTTTGCAGCCAGAATTCTTACAGTGATTTCTGAAACAGCTGGAGATCAGTCTCTTTTCAAGGATGTCGCCCAGACCTGTAGATAGGATAGGCATTTCCTCAACTGCTTGATTGCAGACTTTTGCAGTTGCTATGTTCTTTGAAGTGTGCTCGCTCATGGCTCTTCTTTTCAATTTGTGAAGTCTTCTGGTAGTCATTCTCAGGGCTATGTTGGTGGATGCAAAGTTCCAATTTGCAAAAGGACCTTGTTTGATGAAACGGGAGAATGGTGTTTTCCAGCATTTCAGATTGCGGTGGTTTGAGATTCGCAAGACCGGACCTGCTTGCTAACTGTTGCTGCTACTGTTTGCTATTGCTCCAATCTTACGTGTGCGATATCAGGTAGCTGGAGTGACCGACAGGGGACTGAAGCCCAGGCCAATAAAGAGAGTGGCAGTTGTGGGGGGTGGGTTGATGGGGTCGGGCATCTGCACAGCAATGATTATGCGGAAGGTTCCAGTTATTTTGAAGGAGGTCAATTCACAGTTTTTGGAGCAGGGCATGCAAAGGATCAAAGGTATGTGGAATGTGGAATTGCCTTCGCTGTTCTTCTCTAGGTCAGCTGTTCAAGGTTGCTGCTCGACTGCGACTGTTTTGATGCCAGAGAGTGAAAATGAGGCAAAATGAGGGAGGAGAGCAGTTACCCTGAGGCTAGAGAAGCACCACTAGAATATACGTTCTCCAGGCTTGCACTTCCTGTATGTATCATAGACACTAGTGTGTTCACTTCCTGCTTAACCACAAACATGTAGGTTATCTTACACTTGGGCCCAGTGTTTGTGGCCATCTTGTCGGTTGATCGTCTGTGAGCTGGGGAAGAGGTATTCAATTGACCAGTTCTGTTTGTCGCACTTTCGCCTTATTAATCACAGTCTCGGTGCTCCCGACAAAAGAATGGATTTTCTCCCTAAGGGTTCTGTTTGTCACACTTTCCGCTTACTAAATCACAGTCTCGTGCTCCCCACGCATAAAGTGGATTCATAATCGCAGTCTCGATGCTCCACCAAAAAGATTGATTCGCTCCCAGAGGCTTTCTCCCCTCGCAGGTCCCGCAGCCCCCCCTCCCTCTCCCCCCTGTGGCCATCCCGCCCTCCTTCCCTATGGCTACGAGTGTACTTTCCCCCAAACGCAATGCACCCCAATAATGAATGTATACAAGCTATCGTTCCGGTCTGGTACAGCCATTACGAGGGTGTGTTGTGTTTGGGGGACGACGGTAGCCTTATGGCTGACTTGTATATGGGTGCTAACCATTGATAGTGATGTCATAGACAGGATAAGAGCTAAAATTCAGACTAGTTCCATGGTGCTCAAACCTACTCCTGAATTTGAAAAAAAAAAAAAGAAGAGGATAAGAAGAGGGACTCTTTGGAAATTTGTGCCATGGTTTGGAGTTGAGCAAAGGCAACTTCTGGCTATGAGAATTCTAGTTGATTAGTGTTCTCAACAGGCCATTCACTTTTTGTTGTGGGCGTTTTACCCTTTCTCGTCACAAGCCAGCAGGATATGATTTGCATCTGGCTTTGTTCCGTGTGTCCATGGTACCACACAGATAACTTGAACAGTCGTGTGAAGAAAGGGAAGATGACGGAGGAGCAGTTTCAGAAGACGCTTGGGCTAGTTAAGCCAGCGCTGGATTACAACGATTTTGGCTCGGTGGACATGGTCATTGAGGTATGTGCATTCTTCTTCTACTGTCCAGTCCCACAGACTCTCAGCCCAGATCTCTTGCTTGCATGCTTCTTTCTTGCACGATCTTCTTTCTTGTGCCACTCGCACCCGACAGACTCTCAGCACAGATCGCTTGTTTCTGGATTTCCATGCACTTTTGCTTATGGACTCCATTGCACGTTATTTTTCTTTCGGTTCTCTTCTTCTACCTTCAAGCGGCAACCTGAGCCCTCAACAGGGATGTTGGCTTATGGCGTTTCATGTATTATCTTCTTGTTCTAAGTTTAGGCTCCAGAGTCCAAACTCACTTGTAGGTCGTGAGAACTTCTTTGCACTTTCTTTTTCTGTCGGCTCGCTTCTTCTACCTTTGAGCTTCAACCTGAGGCTGTCAACAGGGATGTTGGCTTATGAAATTTTCATGTATCATCTTCCTTGTTCTAGGTTTAGGCTCCAAACTCACTTGCAGGTCAGGAGAGAGCGTAGTGGGAGGGGTAGGCTTCATACCCAAAGGAAGGCAGAGAGTTTGAGGGAAAAAAAGCATAATATTTGGACATAGCAGACACCTTTTGAACCAGCCTCTCTGTTTGTATGCTACTATCGGAAATTGTGTGCTAACTTCCCTCTGAAAATCTCTGCCTTCCGTACAGAGCTTACCCAACGGACTTGCAGTCTCTGTTAATCTTCTTTCGTTAGATAGTGGGTGCATGCGATCTTCCCTGGCATGCAAACAGGGTTTTGCTGCCTCTGCTCAAGTTTACTCAACCGAACATGACACTGAAAATATGATCCCATTTTCGCGTACTAAAGACAAGGAAGGAAGGTTATCAATCACACTAATCCAACAGCATCCTTTCCACGAACCCTTATCTTCTTTGTGGAAGCATGGCTATGCCTTGGTGCTCTTCGCAAAGTAAAATGGGAAAATTCAAAATTGGTTCATCTATGTTTTTCCTCCGTCCATGGCCCTGTATGTGCGTCCAATTTGATGATACCACAGTGACTACACCTTCATTTGGCCTGGCCCAGCATCCGGCCAGGGGTGGAGGTCCTGGAGTTCACTCTAGGCGTTCATGCTATAGGGTAAGAGGGGTTGGGAGGTGGTGGGGCTGGAAAGGAGGAGTAGGTGTGAAACAAAGGGAGTTTCTCAGTTCAGGCCTGATGTACGAGAGCAATTCCTCCCCTCCCCCTCCAGATTACCTGGTGCTTGCTAAGTCGTGAAGTTCAAGAGCAACCCACAAGGAATCAAACCCGTGGCTTGCCAGCTGAGGTGTTAGTGAAGGCCCTGTGGGAGGCTTCACCCCTCCCAGGCACGAATACACATTGGAATTCATCCATGACCCAGTGTATCTGGGCCCGGCTCAACCTCAATCCAAGTGCACGTGTGGGCTTTCTCATGACGTCCCCTTCGGAGTTCCAACTTCCAACCAAACAGTATTTTGGCAAGGCCGTCAAACCTGTTCCAAGTGCTTGCTAAAGCGCAAGAAGGCGGAAACATCCAGGAGGCACGCAGTGTTGGCCCGTCTGGGAGTGTTATGCGTTCGAGACGGAACGCTGATGGAGAGCTGTATGACGGGAAACTGTCACGTACGGTTCGGAGGGCAGAGACTCACCTCTGACCCCTACCCATTTTAGGTTTTGCTTTAACTGAAGCTATTGCTTTATTCGCCTTAATGATGGCTTTCTWAATTTTATGGGCGVCCGCGACACTACCAAATGAATTGCTCCTTTGCACTGTTTGTTCTCTCAGGCGCGATAGCGAAGGAGACGCTGCAGTAGTCCGCAGCGAGATGGACCTCCCCAGGAATCAGACCTGTGATTCACTTAACCAATAGTTCAACTGAGATGGGGTATAGGTGTCATGTGGCTTCTGCCTTGCTGTTGAGAAACTGAGAGGGACTGCCAAAATCGAGGAGGAACAGGGAGGAACACAATGGAAGAAAACAAACAATAACAGAAACAGTGGCCAGGTCGTTTCGGTTACTGGTACAAGGACGGGTGGGACAAGGAGGGGTTCTCCGTTCTCGCCACTTCTTGTCATGGTCCCACTGTTTTCTTGGTTGCATATTCACCGCCCACTGATGTATTGCCAGTTCCTAACACAGTGGTTCACTCAGTCCCATTCATGCGTCGTGTTGGGGTGAACCTTGCACTTGAAACAGCCAGCACATGTGACCCTTCCTCTCCATGAATTTAGGAGGCATTTTGCATTATGTGACAGGGCTTGCAACTCTGTGTGTGTGTGTGTGTGTGTGTGTGTGTGTGTGTGTGTGTGTGCGCGTGTGTGTGTGTGTCCGCTAACACGAAACACTCATTTGCTCATGTGTGCGCATGATCCATTGTCAATGACTTGAGCTCTCTCTCGTGCTGCCAAAGCAGCAGATCCAAGCCCCCCCTGTTCACCTCTTCTTCCTTCTTGCCCGTGGCCTTGCCGTCCTTTCCTCCTTTTGCAACACTGTATTTCTACTTCCCCCCATGCCTCCTCTTCACATCCTGTTCTCGTAACATATGCTGACTTTCTGTATGCCGTTGTTAATTTCTTCTCCCTTTGCCACTGTTGCAACATGAGTTCCTAGCTCCACCCACTTCCTCCTCATTGTGACACTAGATTCCAGTCCCTCACACCTCCCCTGCCTCCCCATCAGTAATTCCGACATCAGATGCTTAACCCATACAGCTTCACTCCTTTGCTTCTGCTGTTGCAACACCCGTTCAACGTCTTGGATTTCTCTTTTCGTCGTTTCCGTGTCTTTTTATTTTAGAAAACAAGTTAGAAAAATGTAATGAACTTCGGCAACGACATTTAATTCCTCTTCTTTATTTTTGTAATTTTATTTTTATTTCTTGCAAGGAGAAGAGGTTCATGGAACATAACTCTGTTTTATTTTATTGATTGCAAGACGTCAAGGTCTCTGGAATATCGGATTGATTTGCAAGACGTCAAGGTCTCTGGAATATCGGTAACGTGCATGAGTCCGTTTCAGATCTTGCGTTATTCGATTTTGGTCACGGTGCTGACCCAAGGGGCTGTTTGGTTGCGGATGTACAGGCTGTGATTGAGAGCATTCCATTGAAGCAGCAAATTTTCGGTGATTTACAAAGACATTGCAGTCCATCATGTATTCTCGCTACAAACACTTCAACCATCGACATCAATGTAGTTGGGGAGAAGACAAATGCACAGGACCGCATTCTTGGAGCACATTTCTTCAGGTATGTCGCGTGGAAAGCTCGCATCTAAGTCACCTTCCCTCTTTCCATTATTCTATGGACACCAAACGGGAATAACGTTCCTGTTGGCGCTGTTATTCACGGATGGGGTAGGGCTTTTCTTGTGTGTTGAAGCTTGTGGTGTTTCCAAAGCTTTCTTCCATCAGGGGTCAACGTCCTTACTATAGCCTTGTTTGGAACGTGCTCCATGCGTTGCCATTGTGTTCTTTTCATTACGCATACTGAAGACTTCAATTTTAGTCCTCTCTCTCTCTCTCTCTCTCTCTCTCTCTCTCTCTCTCTCTCTCTCTCTCTCTCTCTCTCTCTCTCTCTCTCTCTCTTGTGCATATTGCCATCTGTACTGTGTGGGCGAGTATATCAGTGCACACTCATGCACATGTGTGCACCTTTAACTATCTGGGCATCACTGTATGTATACCTGTCCAGTGCTGTTGATTTTCCGCTTGCCCGCACGTGTTCAGTTTCCTGTTAAGTGGATCATCTTGAAAGGAGTTGCAAGTGCAGCCAAAGTATTTCGAGGTTGGGAGACGGACCGAGGCATGCCATAGGCAATAGCTGTATGCATTAAACATTGTTTATGACATAAATGCTATCTTGCCAGCTGCTCATCATTGTTTCCTCCGTCCACCTTTGCTAGTTGCTTCGTCTTTGCCTTCGTGTGTACTTTTCAATGCCATAATCCCTCTATCGATGTCATATTGTTTTGGTAATGTATATCTGTCACACGGCTATGTGCATCACTTATCATTCTTTTCGGAGTCGAGAATGTGAGCTATGTCCATGCCTTACATTGTAATCAAAGCACTTCCTTTCCAATTGTTTATTTTCTGTAAACATGTCTCATGACTCACAATTCGCGTATTACCATGTTGTTGTCATTTTTGTTTCTCCTATCCTTTGCCCTCTGAGCTGCTGTCTGTCTGTCTCGTATGTTTGTGCTAACACATTGTGGACATTCTTGTGGTGCTATGTCATGTGTGTTCGTTCGTCTGGATTCCCCTCTTTTTACCCCTGTCCCC